GTGCAATTCAACCCCTCTACTAGCCATGTTGTGGTAGATCAGCTCCTGTACTAGAAACTATGGCAAATCAGCCCCTCTACTTCATGTTATCCGCAGAACACCCCTTTTAATGAGAATGACATCATCCAACCGTTAGACCCTCCATTGCTCGTTAAAACTTGATGAGTTGGCACTGATTGGGTGCTGATGTGGACCAATTTAGCACATTCCCTTCTGCATTGGCTCCCTGACCTTGTTATTAGCACATAATCAGCCTAACAAAAAAGGGAAAACCATTAATTCAAACAGAACCAAGCATATACTTAACCCAACAAAAATGGAAAAACCACTGATTCAAACAAAATCAAGCATACACTCAACCCAACAAAAAAGATAACAACACTGATTCAAACAGAACAAAAAATGAAACAGATATGCATACCTTTTTTTCTTTTTCCCTTCTCCACACCCGGTCTAACGAACTTCTCTGACTTGCTCCTCCGGTAAGAGTTTGGATTATCCATGTCCAAATTCGAATCAGAATCAAGATCCGACGCCAAATTGCCCTGCATTTCCAAATCAATCTCTTCTATGGAGTGTTCCCCAGCATCTTCTGAAGATTGCAGTTGGCAATTTTCAGTGTTTCTGATGACTTCCTCGTAGAGTTCATCCTTGGCATTGTTGTCTTCGAGATTCTCGGTGGATAATTTGCTGGACTTGGCGAGGAGAGTAACGATGATGACGTTGCAGAGGAAGAAGACAAACAGCTGACTAGCGATGGCGTCGCTGAGTTTGGCAAAAAACTCACCGCAGATCCTGACGAAGATACATCTCTATGGCCTAAATCACTTTAAACTTTAATCAAACTAGAGAGAAAGAAATCAAGTTTGGAAGGAATTGAAATGAGTAGAGGAAGGAATTAAAATGAGTAGAAGCAATTAAAATGAGTAGAAGCAAATCAAAACATAAGGAAAGTTCAATCGAGGGTGAGATTGAAACCCTAGATCCCCAATTTATTGTTTTGGTAAGGGTTCTTTAGTAAAAGTATTGGAGTGCCATCTCGGTAAACCCAGGTGGAGTCAAATTGGTCCACATCAGCACCAAGTCAGTGCCAACTCATCAGGTTTTAACGGGCAATGGAGGGTGTAACGGTTGGATGACGTCATTCTCATTAAAAGGGGTGTTATGCGGATAACATGAAGTAGAGGGGCTGATTTGCCATAGTTTCTAGTACAGGGGCTGATCTGCCACAACATGGTTGGTAGAGGGGCTGAATTGCACCTTCTGCCAAAAAAAAACATTCCCCTAGATTTTCCCCTTTTTTTTTTATCTTTTTGTTAAAATATTAATATTGTATCCATGGCCGAGAGGCGCTAGGCCCCACCCACTTTGACTGTATCCCGTCTATTCAAAAACTTTCACATCAAATTAGTCTTGCTTCTATTTACCCAAAAAAGTATATATATTAGTCTACTTCTGTTTAAACAAGTGGCATAAACAGATAAATTAGAAAATGATTATCGACAGATAAAGAGACGTGCCCTATCCCGTCATCTACCACCTCACACAGTCTAATCAGATAACTTTCTTTAATAGTTTTTTAATGAGAAAATATTACTCTTTTCATTTCACAAAAAAACGATTATCTTTTAATTAAAATTTAAAAATAATAATTATATTTATTTATAATATATTTCTTTAAATATATATATATATATATATTAAAGATATAATTCATATACTTGTATTACTCTTAAACAAAGTGATCAGTAAAATTAGACCCTTGAATCCAATAATTTGTTAGAAACCTTAAAGTTTTTGATTTTGTTGGTTAAGATTTTGATTTTTATCAACGCATTAAAAACATCTCTCCTTTCTTAAATTGTAGAGTATTAAAAAAAATAAAGTGATTAGTATAATATTAGACTATTGGTGCATATAAAGGCATGGTTAAAATGTACATAAAATATATGTATACCTTAAGCTTGGTGCACATAAGTAATTCAATTTTGTACTGGCTGTCTAACATGCCACACATAACATAACCACCTAAGGTTATGAAGTATGAACCGTGTTCACTCATATTTTCTTTTTTTGTAATTTTTTTTCAGCTGGAAGCCTTTTAATACATTAAAAAAAATTTAAGATATTATTTACATTTAGTGCAAATTTAAAATTTTTACATATATGTTAATTATCTAAATATCTAAATAATTTAATAATTATTTTTTTTATTAAAAATAAAAGATTTTGAATTTGAATTTTATAATATATTATTAAAGTAAAATATAAAATAAAATGATTATTTTTTATTATATAATTAAAATTTTTTAAAAAATTACATGTACATTTTGAAACATCAAATCTTTATGTCCACATATTTAAAATACAAATATATTATGTACTCAATTTAAAATTTAAATTTTTATATAAATTTACCTCAAAATTACAAATTTCCAAAAAAACATCTATATTAAGTTTCTGGTCGTCACCTAAAGATATAGGAGAAATTTCCACAGTAAACCACATGTTATTGATATTATTATTTTTACATACTTTCTTTATTTTTTTTCCTTTTTTCATTTTAAGAGGAGAAATTACAGGAAAATGGGTATTTGAATTTCCAGTCGTTGAACTTGAAGGTATAGACATTGATTAGTGGACCCCTAGACCACTTGAGGCCCTGTGTGGTTGTAAGTACCGCTCATGATGTTACGTATACTAAAAATGGTAATATGTATTTTTTTTTAAAAATATTTTATTTAACAAAAAAAATAATTAATAATTACTAATTAATAAACTAATAATATTTATTAATTAATAAATTAAAAATTTAAATCCCGTTTAAAAAATTAGTTACCTTTGTGGCCATTACCCTATCCCTCAAGCGCGTCCACTCTCCCTACTACTTTAATTCATTAATTCTACCAGGATCCTGTTCAATTTGATCCAAACTATGTCCCTAACTCCAAATCCTACATAAAATATATGAAACCAGTGCAGGCACATAAGTTTATAAGAGTAGAATCCTCTCCAAATCTCCACAATTGCCCCTTGTTCCCCGAAAAAAGAAAAAAGAAGAGTTCTTCCATCCTATGTACACTCGTACCTGGATTTGGGTACTAGCATATATGCTTCCGCACAAAAATACCTCGTTGATGCATCCATCAACCTACTTCACTCACGTATTAAATGATTCAATCCAAATCAAGACTCATATATACTTCTTGAACACATGCATACCTTCTCAGCCACAGCTTTGCATAGCAGTATCAAACAGTCCCTACCACTGAAACAATCGGTTCCAGACAGTTGGTATTAAACTATTAAATAAAAGAAATTATACACGAAGAATGATGAAGAAATATGTTACATTAATATGGTCAAGGATGAACATACAAGAAAATCCAGAAAATAAATTCCAAAGAAATTACACTTAATAATAAAATAAGTAACCAACCGCTCCCCTTCTTTGGTAGCCCTTAACAAATCCTTCCTTCTTCTGTACAAAAGTAGCAATTTCATTTTTTTTTCCAAAATAATAAGAATAATAAAAACTACCCACAAAATAGAGACTTCTAGATCTCTCTTTCCCATCTTCAATGTACAAAGATGCAGATTTCCCAATCCAACTTCAATATTCACACGTCAGAAGAATCAAAGGCCACCGAATTTTTCAGTTTCCCAAAATAAAATCAAAATGGAAGCATATAAACTCCAACCCACCTTCACTTCACTAATTCGGATATCCATCCAACATCGGGACCCGACCCGGAATGCTCCCCCGCACCCACGGAGTTATCCTTCCTCAGTTTTGCATAAATCTTTGCTCTTAAATCCCTCCCGGATTCAACCCTTTCCATTGCCGGTTCCTCTTCAAAAATACAGTTATCCCAGACTCCAGACCTGATTTGGTTCCGGGTCGGGGTTGAAGGTAGGCTGGATAATCCGGGTCGGAGCGAGGATCCGAGGGGAGATCCGTATCCAGAACCCATTTGCAAACCCCAAGGAGGACTACCCACCTTCATCTTACCTAACTGAAGCCCACGCATAGAGGAAACCAGTTCATTCACTGAGTTGTAGGATCCGCTGGGCGACATCGGCGGCGAGTCAGACGGCGGAGATACTGGAGGAGACACCAGAATCGATGTTGGCGAAGATACCAACTCGAGACGATGGCGTATTGGCGACCCGAATAAATCCATATCGCTCGATCCGGATCCATTCCCTCTCGGACTCTGCTGAGGCAATACTCGAAGCTGCTCGGGCGTGTGAGCAAAGAAGCAGACCCTTCTCTTACAACTCGTACCGTCCTTGCATGGCTGGGTACGGTATCGGGCCGGGTGTAGCCAACACTCGAACACACCGTGAGCAAACTCACAAGAGTCACCTTTTCTACAGTTCCCTTTGCGAAAATCGGGGCAGGCATTACCCGAGTAATGGTACTTCCTCGGGTCTCTCCGACGAGCCTTCTCGCCAGGATGGGCATACGGACACTCAGTCCAGTCGTGCGACCTTCCACGAACGCATCTCCTAACTTTGAACTCGTACATTCGGAACTGATCGCACGAGAAGGCGTCCACGGGAATATCAGAGTCCTCACACAGCGAGTCGGACTCGAAGTCATTCGACGGGAGGTAACGTCGGAGCGAGGAGAAATAGTCGACAGGACTGCTCGCATTGCCGTTCAACCCGACAGGAGAGAAGGATCCAGACGGCTCGTTGAATGAATCCCATGCAGGAATAAGAACGGTTGGATTGGCCGGCCGGGGAGTTTCTCCGATCATCATTTTAGGACATTGTATTGAAAAAAAGCAGTGAGAAGAACAGGTCTGGTGTCTTGATTATAAACTGCATATTTAACCGTGGTTAAGTTGCGGATTTAACCATGGTTGGGGAAAAATCAGAAAATCTACCGCCACTATTCTTCCCAGTCGCACGGTTAGAAAAATATGATGGCGCGTACAATTCAATGCCAGGAGCCCATGCTTGCCGTTGATTTTAAGTTATTAGTAGGTTTTGGTCTTACAATTCGCGTCAGTGGGTCCCGGGGATTAGACATTTTGTGCTTATCCCTTTGTAACTGGCAGTGACAATTTAGCATCACAGTGTTGTAGCAATATGAAAACCCTTCGCCGGTACCCAATTTCGTTGCCTGGGGCCCTCGAGATATTTTGTTGCAGTTGTCCGCTTAGCACGTAGTAGTCGTGAATTCAGGCGTTTTTCTGGCTATAAATACGTAATTAACCAGCAAAATATGGTGCATTTTTGTTAAATATATTCAATTTAGTGCAGTTTTAGGTTAGGATTTCGGGTTTTAGGGATTGTTTGAATTATCCTTTCTGGTAAAATGTTTCTGTTCACCCTTAGTAAATTTAATTTAATTTTTTAAATATAAATTTTAAATAAAATTTAACAATTT